AGCGCAAAGCATACACGACGGGCTGATGAAATATCTCAGCCATAAATGATGCTTCGGCAAACGATGGACTTATTAAAAAATTAGCGTCATCGCCCCTAAGGATTTAATGTCTTTTGATCGCACATTTTCATAATAAATTCATTTGTCCTACTAATGATTTCAGCATTCAACTACAGTCGGATTCTGCTCATTCTATTTGGAGAGAGATTCAACAATAGTGAGATCACTGCAGCTTCGGACGTGGACTTTTATAAGGCGTCACTTACACAGTTGCACTTTCTGCAGTTTAAGTTCGATTGTACTTATTAGAAATCTGTTACAGTGAAACCCAGAAGATATAATAGTGACAAGAATCTTATGCATATTAACTTCATAGATGTGATTTTAGTTACGTGAAATTGAAGTATCCTCTATATAATCACATTTTGTGTGATGAATAGTATGTAAATTTTCTTATACTTATTGTATCTATGGTTATATACGCTCTATTAAAGCATATACTTATTACCTTTACTATACCTATGTAGTTATAGTAACATATATGTGTACTTTGAGTGTTGTTGATAGACTTGGCATGTGTGATACTGTTATTTGTTGTCAATATGTCCTCGAAATTTACAATGTTATGATCTGTAAGTGTGTCTCCTGTCATGGTAATTATTTCATTATATTATAGTTAAGATTATTATCGTTATGAGAAATATGTTCTATTATCTTCTCTTTTCGCTGCCCCAGGCCCCCAGGCCTCGGAAGTCCAATTTTCTATAGTGAGCTGATTTGATTCTAGTACAGATTTTTGCCTCAATTAATGTCGAACATTGAATGTGTATTCTTATTTCCTTTTTCCTTTTTTTTAGGTGGTGAATTAATGGATTCTTGGAATTTATGCATGGTGGTTTAAAAATTGGCGAGTGCCAATTTCTGTAGCACAAAATCCCATTATCCTAGCAAGCGATATGTCACTTTAATCTTTGTAATTTGATAATATACGTCAATTGTTAAATGAGAGCGTTGCTAACACCTGTTATAATTTTTAGTTCGCTCAGTCTAATCCTATTACTAACCTACTCAGCATTGCATCTTTCTTTATATTACTAATCTATTCAGCATCTAACTAATTGTACTGGCTATTACACTTTAAAAACATACAAGTATCTATATCTAAGTAAAATCGTTCATTTTCTTTCTTTTATTTCTTTTCCCTTTATAGTTTCTATGAAAAAAAAGGGTTATTGCATATATACCACTTACATCATGGGAATTTGCAAAAATACCCTCTAAATCTTAGTATTTGTAAAAATACCCTTTAAATCATCAATTTTGAAAAAACTTACCCTCAGAGAAACTAATCATCAACTTTGACAAGCTAATTTATAATTGCAATGTAAAAATTATCAATGAGATGGTCAAATTTCACACCAAGTTGATGATTCGTTAATTTTAGGGGTATTTTTTCACAAATTTGATGATTTGACAAGTAGTTTTTCAAATACTAAAATCTAGGGGGCAGTTTTGCAAATACACATGATTTAAGGGGTATATATATATGCAAGTAACTAGGTAACTAGGGGTGCATTCGATCCGGATACGGCTCAGATATGATGTTTACCATATTTATATATATATATATACACAAATTTGATGATTTGACAAGTAGTTTTTCAAATACTAAAATCTAGGGGGCAGTTTTGCAAATACACATGATTTAAGGGGTATATATATATGCAAGTAACTAGGTAACTAGGGGTGCATTCGATCCGGATACGGCTCAGATATGATGTTTACCATATTTATATATATATATATA